CGTGATTGAGTGGGTAAAGACAAATATATTTTTGGGGGGATCTAGATCTTTGTATCACCAATTATCTATTACAAGGATTAAATTTCTAACCCTAGATTCAATTCCATTTTAAAAATAACCTACAAGTCCCCTTGGTTCCGCTTAAAATTTATAATATAATTCCCAAAAAGGGATTTTGATCTTAATGATTGAATCCATCTTATTAATAATGAATAAATTCAAAAGAGTTTTTAAATATTTTTATTTTCTTTTTTATTAAAAAGAAAAGTAGCTGATAAAGAAACGATTAAAACGACTGGCGGAGTTAAAGACAATTTTGATTATGAAGCCTTTATAGATAGTCCCAAATGTACGAATGAATGAATGAATACTCAAGACCTACCGCGTATTGAAAGATTTACAAAGTGCGTACACAATGTTATTATTTTTTTTTGTAGGATTTTAATGTTGTTTTTTTTGAATTGTTAATTATTCATTTTGTATTATTAATATTATAAATTATAATGTGTTTATAAAAATTAAAGATTTTTTATTTGTTAAAAGTTTCATGTTTTTAAAAAAATAAATGATGCTGATATGAAGGTCTAATCCATTATTCACAGCTAGGCATGGATTAGCGGTTGCGCTAACCCGCGAAAGAAGGGGAGGGGTAATGAGTTATGGCCACAATTTTTATGAGTTTAACGATTTTACGTCCTATAAGTAAAACGTTATAGTAATTTTTTGCTAAGCAAGACACAATTTTTTATTTAAAATGCAATAATAGATAATATAATAAATTAAGAAACATATAGTGTTGTTAAAACGGCTTGTTTTGGCAGATTTTTTAAAAGGCTAACTAAATATTTTAGCCAGAAGAAATATTGCCGAGGCCTCGTGATTTCGATAATATTATGTTTTGACCTTTGTTCCTTCTGTGAGCAAAATCTTCAGGCTTGTGTAATATTTTTCTGGGTGAAATATCGAGTTAGCCGTTTTAAAAAATCGGTTCAGAACGAGCCGTTTAACAACACTACTCAGAGCTATCCGTTTAACAACACTAGATGTATATATAAACACGCTAGTTAGCATCTATGTGTTTTATATTATTACAACTTTAAAATCATTTTTTTGAGGGCGTATTTTTTTTTAAAAAATTTAAAAATCTGATTTCATCCAAACTATATTCTGTCATGTTTGGGATTTACCAATCCTATGAATTGTAGACAATTATGCTGTAAATCTTTGAGCCCATTTTATAATTTATGTATTTAAAAATGTACGGAAAATTTAATACAAATTGTTATTAAGTTTAAAAGTTGGCGGAAAAAAATTGTCTGAAATTCGTAGAGTAGTTATTCCACAACATGACGACATGCATTTGCGGAGAAATCAGATTTTAAAATTTTAAGAAAAAAACGCGCTCGAAAAATGATTATAAAGTTGGAAAAAATAACGCGTTGTCGGATGACGCTAAACATACTTTTAAGCATTGGAAAGATGAGCCGGCGGGTTGTAAAATATATTTACAAAAAATAGAGGGCGTAAAATTAATTTTTTTTTGAAAAAATTAATTTCATAATATTGTATAGATTATTAACTTTAAGTAATAAATAACATTAAAATAAAACATAATAAAAAACCAAACCAAAATAAAGTTAATATTTAAAACAAAAATTTGTGCAGAAATTGGTGCGGAGGAGAAGGGGGGGGGTGAACTTAAAAAACGGTGGATAAGATGAGGGGATGGGCTTCGAGGCTAAAAACTCACTCATTGCCAGATCTCTGGTTAAATTAGGCGTTTATACATGTCCCACAGCACGTAAATATCTAAATAGAAAAAAAAAATTACATTCTAACCTGAATTAGAGATCAAAATCTTTGGAATTATCGTTCAATGAGCTAACCAGTTCCATAACTATGATTTTATTCAGGGTGGTTGTATAAAAATTTAATAAACCTACTTTTTTCCGCGCTTCAGGTAGATTGCGTCTACGGAAAATTATGATTAGATATTTTTTAGTTTTAAAGAGTGATTTTTATATTTTACTTTTTTTAAAAGATATATAATTAATTTTATATATCATCTCCGTTAAAGTTTGCTGAACAATTAAAAGTAAGGGAGACCGGGGATAGTGTTATCCCGGGGCAGGTAATTCTTTCTCAAATAATTTAAAAAAAAAATAAAATTCGAGATTTGAAAGTTAAGCTAAAATACGTATGCTTAAGTAGGTCTAAACATGTTTCACACAAAATTGGTTCATTTTAACTAGTCAGATGTAACTTTTAATCTATATTAATAAATTATTTTTACAAATGCTTAGACTAAATATCCATTCTAAATGATAAAATAAACTCAATTTTATCGTGTATAAAAATATTGACAATATTTTATGGTTATTTAATATCTTTAAAATTAAGTTTTAATAAATTGTGAAGGGGGTTGGGGTAGGTTTAGGCGAGGTACGTATTAGCCATATTTTAGGGCACTGGATTATCTTGAAAAGACATTAGAAGCCTATAGTTTAGAGGCGCATGGTAGAGTAGTAAATTGAAGATTTACCTTAAGGACAAGGTACAGAAGTTAATCCGGTCTTAGGGCGTACATCATCTGATGATAAAATTAACAAGCTCCCAGGATATTTTGTATCTGGGCCCTAGTAAGAGAACGCTAATAACTGAATTAATCCCTGCATACCTTGAATGTTCCTAGAATTAAATAAAGATTGCGTGTCGAATATTTATATATCTTATGATTCGATGTATTATTTAACTCAGTTTATTTTGCTTTTATTTTATGAAATTCTCCTTAAACAAATATTGAAAATGGAGAATTTTAAAATAAAATTTAATTTATAAAAGTATTTATTTTGCCTTACAATTGTAATTTAAATTTTATAGAAATTCAAAATTTTTCAGGTTTTAGTTTGGGAATTAATATCATCTCAATTATTTGCTTTCATTAATTTCTATAAGTTTTTCCTTATATCAAAAAATCTAAACTATAAAATCGTTTTGCACGTAGATCACTCCAATTCTAGACTGACAGAATTTGATTGACTTTGTGTCCTTAAATTTAAAAAAAAATAAAAATAAAATAAAATAAAGAAATTTCCAATATTTGCAAAATAATTTTAAACAGGGTTGTACACTTGATCGGTCAAATACGTTTCGGTAAATTGACCGATATTTGACCTGTCAAATATGGTCAAATGTGGTCAAATTCATATATATATGTTTTTTTAAGTTAATATTAACTTTATTTTGAATATAATAGTAAAATGAATCTATAATATTAATTTTTTAAATTCATTGTCATTCAATTAACTAACGTGTAGCTATATTTAGCAGAGTCTTGTTCTGATTCATATTCAATATTAACATTTTCTATAATATTTTTTAATCAATTTTCCTTATGTCTTAGATCTTCAATCGATTTCTATTTTCATAAGAATATTAACCCAAATCGACCTATTTCTTTCTAAAGAAGAAGTAAAACTAGGAATTGTTAGTCTCTGGGCAGGGTAGACAAAGTTTAATCTATTAACTTGAGATCGGAATTGATTGTTTCTGTAAATTACTAATTTCCACATAATTTGCTATATTAAACATGCTGTTTTTGCTTCTGAAATTAATTATATCACTTAAAATATTTTGGTCATCACTACCTTGTAAAATAGCTAATTCTAGAATTATATCACACACTTCATTAATTTCACTGCTAGTGAGTTCTCCTATTGATATTGTGGACCCAAATAAGCAAACATTGTGATCACATGTATTTACATCGTTTTTCCCTTTTTTAAACATATTTTTAATTCATTTTTCCTTTAAATTTCTGTCAAATACTCCTCTGGTCAATTGACTGAATTTGACTGGTCATTTGGCCGACTTGCCAACCCTGATTTTAAATATCAAAACAAATTATGTAAATTTAAGAATAGTTTAAATTTATGTCAATTTTTTGAGATTAATTAGATTTCTTAAAATAGATTTCTTTTTATTTCCTTATTCGTAAATTATAATAAAATATCGAATAAAGAAGATGTGAATAGAATAGAATAGAATAGAAGAAATTAGAAAAGGTTTTTTTTGAGAAAGGAAAGTGTGCACATATAAATAAAAATAATAATATATAATAAGAAAAACGTAAGATTTTTTATTAAACATAAAAATGGCTAAAAATAAAAATGGAAGGTTAAAGTCAACTATCCGAAAATCAATTTTTATTAAACCGATTTTACAAATAAAAAACGTGTCCAAAAGTTTATTCACAGTTATAAGGTTTTAGCGGCCCAAAGCCCGGGCCGTGAGAAGTACAATAATTTTTATGGAGGGTAGAGGATTTTATTACATGCCTTCCCTTGCTGATTTCTAATGTATTATTATGATAATCAAATTGATTATATTATTATTTTTTAGAATAAAAATATTCATTATAATTTTTAAGATTTTATGCATTTTTGCCCATATAAATATAAACATAAACATTTTAAAAGTCTCCACCGACCTTAGGTCAGATATTAATTTTTCTCTTTTTGTTTTTAGTAAATAACAGGAAAATAATTTTATTCTTCTTTCATTGACCATTAAGGTGTTTTAAATGACAATTATTTTAAGTTTATAATAATATTAAAATACTGAAATTTGTTATTCTTATTATTATTACGAAAACAAAGTGATGAAAAATATATTAGAAAGATTACGTATTATTGTAAAAAAACCTTAATTGTCTTCCACCCCTTGAATCCTAAGAAGGAGAAAAAAAAACAAATGTTTTTTATAACCAAATATAAAACAATGGACTTTATTTTCTTTAATATAAAACATAAAATTATACCTTATTTTTATCAATATAATATAATAAATACATATAGTTAAATTTCTTATAATTTAGCGGGTCATTTAAAAATAATTTACCCTAATATTTCATAAAACTAAAATTTTTCAATAAATCTTACAATTAATTTTTCTAAAAATAATATAATTTGCTATAAAATATAAAAATATTTTAAAAAAAGATGAATAATTTATACTGTATAGAAGAAGACAATAAAAAATTCTATCCATCCTATCAACAGGAAACGCCTTCTTACCAACAAGAAACGCCTTCTTATCAACAAGAAACGCCTTCTTATCAACAAGAAACGCCTTCTTATCAATCCGTAAACGCCGAATTCTACCTAAGAGACGTCTATGAAATCATTCAAAGGGTGGAAACCGTAGGGCATCGAAAGCCGCGCGACAACAACGACGAAGTGAATATCGCTAAAATCGTGCGAGAACTCAAATCACTCGAGGGGAACGTGAACGGAAGTTATCACGATACAGGTATATTTTACATAAATTTATATATATATATTATTATAACAACATACAATTTTATGTAGTATTGTTAAACGGTTCGATTTGAGTCGATTTTTTTAAAAACGGCTAACTTAAAAAGTAGCTAAAGTTACTTAAAAAAAATAGCAACTAATAGCTCGTTACTTTATTTTGACATACCCCCATAATCCTTAATTATAATTCATTTTTTTTAATATTTCCGTTAAAAAAAATATTAAAAAAAAATATGATAGGCATTTTACGGGATATCGGGAACGTCAATCATTCTGAAAGCGTCGCAAGAGGGCGTTTCGAGTTTTCGGAGAGTCAAAAAATCTTTTTGGAGAACGTGTTTCTTAAAAGCAAATACGTTAATGCGCAGGAGCGAAAGACCATGGCTCTCACGTTAAATCTAAGGGACGACCAAGTATAATTATAATTTTTAGCGAATCTTAGAAAATAATTGCCTCGATAAAAATAAATCCCCGTTTTATTAAAGATATTAATAAAAATAGGAGAAATAAATTCCCTGTAAAATATATTCAGGATAAAATTCTCACTTCCGGCAGATGATTCTCTAAGAATTTATTATTGAAGATTTTTTTTCCAGGGAATAAATTTTCCGTTTACCTATTTCCTAACCACATTTTAATTTACTTTTTCACATTATATTATTTCTAATTTTTTCCTCATTTATTTTTTTTCTCCTAAAAACAAGGTAAAGAATTGGTTTCAAAATAAGAGGTCTAAACTACATCTCACTCGTACAAAATGAATTGAACATTTCCAGTGCAATTTTAAAACAAAATAATATATCCAAAACAATGCAATTCAACACCTAAAAATACTGTAATTAATAATGCAATCTCCGTCCTTTCAAATCTGTTATTTTTTTTGATTATGACAAAATAATATTAGTGTAGTATATTAATATATAATATATTTGATGTAACTTTTGGTTTTATATGTTTAATTTTTTAATTTATAATTTTGTTTTATTATAGAAATAAATGAGTTTTTTATATTAGTAAAAAAAAATATTTTTACAAAGATAAAGTGAATATAAGAATTGAATGGAGTAAGTGAAATATTTTTAATATATTTTATTCTTCCAGCAAAAGGAAAGTATATAATGTAGAAAATCGGAATTTTGAAAGAGCTAAAAATATCAATTTATGTAAAAGTTGTTCATGACCCTTAGTTATGGAAGGAGAAGGGGGCTGGTTTGCGATACGATTTTATTATTGAAAATTCTAAATATATGCGTCGGGGAGGTTCGGGACTAAGTTAAACCACTTTTTTTAAAAAAAATTCGTCAATAACTTCTATACGTTTTATATGTCGGGAAGTCTCATATATCGGTAGATATGTCTGGGCACGATCTAACCGAAAATGAATATTTTGTAAAAGTGATAATTTTTTTTAAACCCCTAACTGGAAGTCACTCAAACCAAGTTATGGGGTTTCCAAAAACTATTCTATTTCCTGGCTGAAAATTGACAAAAATCTAAAAGCCATTCGATTTTCTGGTTTTAAAATTGATAGAAAAGCTATTATTTGAATTTTCTTAAAATTTGTTATTTATAGGAAATAAATTTTTTAAAATATTTTATTGCTTTTTAAAGTTCAAAAATATTCCTATACCGCCTAGCTTTGGTGGAAGAGCGGCTTGCATCCAAGAGGATGATGAAAATTTGATATTTAATATAGATTTGAGAGTATTTTTTAAGTGGACTTCGAGGTCCAATAATACCTCAGGCGATGTGAAAATTGTAGATGAACGAAAGGCATGCAAAATTTTTGGAATGAATTAAAAAAATTTCAAATAGAAAGCCTAGTGAGCAGGTAATTATTTTAGAATATTTTTCATTCTAATTAGCAAGGAATTAATCTCTTAAATGAAATATAGCTTTATCCCCTCAATAGGTGAACCTAAACGGGTAAAGTTGGCTTTGTCCACTAAAATAAAATTTTCGGGTGGGCAGTCCGATTCAGAAAGGGAATAAAATTCACATTTACGAGGGTTTAGTGATAGTCCTGTAATAGGAGCTAATTGATTTAAAATTGATGTAATTTTTATGATTTCATTATAAGGGTCTGCAAGTGTGCCATCGTCCAGGTACCATACATTTACACAATTGGAAGAGATCTCTTTTATAATTAATTGGATGCCTTGACAGAACAATGCTGAACCTAAAGGGTCTCCTTGTTGGATGCCCTGTTTAGAGAGAATAATAGAATCATTAAATTTTAAAAAGGTGGGTAGGTTGTAACATGCAGCGATGTATGTTGTATAATCTGGGAAAGTTTCACAAAAGGAGGGTATAAAATGTTCCCTTCTATATGTAGGTCGATTTTGAGAATGCATTGATCATGTGTATTATGGAGAATGACACGTGTCGAGTGGGATGCAGCCTCACATCCTCCAGCAACATTAAAACCAAACTGGTTTGGTTGTAGTAGATTGGATGGTTAGATTTTATACGGGAGCAAATTATTTTGAAAATGATTCACCGGAAGAATGACCCTATTGCAATAGGCCTGATGTCCCCATTGGTTTTATTTAAGGATATTAAGCGGGCTCCAAAAATGATGGGCTGAATGAGATTAGGTATATTATTATGAAAGATATGATTATGCAATATGGTGAATTGTGTAAGTATGTTTTGATATTAGGGGTAAAGTTGGTTTAATTATATCTTGGAGATAAATGGCTCGAAAGCCATCGATGCCTCCTGAAGAATCTTTTTTAAATTTCATTATTGCTTCCAATATTTCCATCTTGGTTAGTGGAATGGGATTATTAGATAGTGGAAGGATGATTTGTGAAAAATCCTGAGGATGTTTAGATTGCATGGCCGTGAGAGTTATATCATTATTGGGGCCCATAGTATCACTTGAACAGGCTATGTTGATAGCTGAATTTACATTGCATAGGTTTATTTTATTTTCAATAAGCTTAGCCTTTTTTTCTCTTCTGTCAATATCTTATTGAAAGAATGTGGAGGTTGTTTGGGAATATCAAAGTAACTATTATCATTTGAATTTAATGTTTTTTTGATGCTTTGTGTTAAGTTTGATTTTGATGTTGGGAGATGTAGATTTAAATATCCAAGCTTTTAATATTTTTATTTAGGGAGGTTAAAATAGCTAAATAAATTTGTGAATATAATTCTAGCACCTCTGGGTATACGAGCTATTATTGGGGGGGGGGTGACTTTCTTTCATAAATTTATCTAGTTGAATTAATGTTATTATCTGGGCAGAAGATATAGTTAAAGGGATTGTTTCTATGTTGAGGGTATTGTTGGAGCTTGAAGTTGTAGGTATTGGTTCCAAATTGATACTATTAATAAGAGCAGGGTAAGAAGAAGGAGGCATAACAGGTTCATTGTACATGATGAAGGTCATCTGTTGGCTCGTTTACCATGACATATAATTTTATTTCCTTTTGTTAAGGAAACATTCTTAAGGCATGTGGGACATATGACCATGGTTCATACTATAGTTAAGAATAATTATTTTTAAAAAAAAATTATCAAATGAATGATTTGTAAATATATAGAAGATGATAATAATAAATACTATACCTCCTATAGACAGGAAATCGTCTTATCAATCGATAAATGCGGAGTTCTACTTAAGACACGTCTATGAAATCATTCAAACATTAAAATATCAATTGAAAATAAAATATTTTTTTCAGTAACATGACAAAGTGAGATTTATTTTCTTATGACATAAAATAACTTATAAAAAATTAAATTATTAGACATATTTTAAATAATAATGGAATATTTTTATTTTAAATCCTTTAATATAATTATATTTAAAAAAATAAGATTAAAGCCGCAAGATGGCGTCTTATTCCTTTATTATTGAATATATATAATCTTATCTTATCTTATCTTATCTAGCACGTTGGTCATAGACCTGCCCAAAATGAGCGAACGTGAATTTTATGAAGGCCCACCCTTCATAAAATTATGCCGATTTTTTTAAGGCAACAAACCTTGTACCCAGTTGTAGTTTAACTAAATAAGTGGAACTTACCCTTTCCGATATTGTAATTTTAATTTATAAATTAATAATATAAAGACATATATTTCTTATTTGTTTTTAATCTTGAATAGTTATATTCATGATAAGGAATGAGTTAAGAATATTTGAATCCATAGACATCAAAAAATTAAATTTTTTATAAATGTTTTAAATTTAGATTTAAAAAAAACTTCAAAGGTCCGACCTGGTCAGAATTTAAAAAAAAAATATTAGGCTCGGCCCGAATCAGATATTTTAAATAGAATTTGGCAAGGGCCTGGCCCTAACTTTGCAGATTTCTAGTAGAAAGGCTCTAGGATAGCACTTTGGCTAGTAGACTACCATTGAAGCTAATGTAGTTGGCTTTAAGGATTGCTATGGCAGGCCTTTATCGAAGAAAAAATCCCTCTCGATTTTATTTTGTATTTTTTCTTCAAATTTTATATCCACTAACAAAAATAAATATAAATTGATTAATAATATAATTTAAAATTTAAAAATAACAATTTTTATACAAATCCTTTTTTAAATAATAATAATAACAATGTATTAAAAGAATGATTGCGCAAAATAATAAAAAAAAAGGATCTTAATCACCAAAAATGAATGACTTCACAAATTTAACTAGTGTTGTTAAACGACTCAATTTGAGCGCCGATCTTTTAGATACGGCTAACTCGATATTTTATCCTAAAAAATATTATGCAAGCCCTAAAGACTTTGCTCATAGATGCCATACAGGATTGAACATCTATTGGTGAAATCTCGACGCTTAAGCAATATTTTCCAGGCTATGACGTTGAATTAGCCGTTTTTAAAAATCGTCTCAAATCGAGCCGTTTACCAAATTTAACATATAAAAAATGACTCCACGATTTAACATTAAAAAATCGACCTTCTTACATAACATTTATATATAAGAAAATGAATCCCATTTCAATTAATAGAGTATATATCAAAATCTTTTGCCTAAGCAATTACAGCTTACCTTGGCATTTGCAGTTTGGTCAACCTCGTAAAAAAAGTCATTTGTTTGAATATATCGAGGAGTAGTGTTGTTAAACGGCTCGTTTTGAACCGATTTTTAAGAACGGCTAATTCAATATTACACCCAGTACAATATTACGCAAGACCGAAGATTTTGCTCATAGTAGGAACAAAGGTTTACACATATATTATCGAAATCTCGAGACTTAGAGGCAATATTTTTCTGCCTAAAATATTGAGCTAGCCGTTTTTAAAATCGCCTCAAAACAAGCCATTAAATAACACTATTGAGGAGAATAAAATAAATTATGTTTGAAATGTATTTATTGAGTTTCTCTTTATTTTCTAAATCGAATTATCTCAATATTATAAGAATCTTATTCAATTTCAAGATTGAAGATTAGAATACGAAGTCTATTACTAATGTACTCTAAGCTCGATAAGTTAGTTCTTATTTATTTTATAAAAATGAAATATAATTTTAAGATCCATCCAAAACGTAGTTTATGGGTCAAGGACGAATCTGGTCGGCACGCTAACTTAGTGTACATATACGACTGGCCGCCCCCTTTAGATGACGACGACGATGATGATGATGTCCAAGAAGAGGCGGATCACAGAAGGAAGAATCGAGAAGTGGGAATGGGGAAGAAACTAATAAAAACGGTACGTGACGTGTATACATATTGTTCGACCTTTTTTTCGTTGTTGTTGTTGACTCGATAATTGGAAGTCGGCGCTCGGGTCCCCAGACGAAAAAGATGGGCCGGAAAACCTGCGAAATTTTTTAGTTGGCAGACCGGAATTTTAC